AGTTGGAGTCTAAAATTGCTTGTATTCCAATAAGAGAGAAGGTCAGTACGAACGTAGTCACAAATTTGGAACCGTAGGAGATATATGATCCGAACGCGTCAGCTATGGCCATTTTGCCCCGGTGGTTAGCTTGGCAAGTACTGACTTGGAATGTACAGTTGTTGTAGATTTACCACGGGAGAAACGTGGCTCTCGGGAGGTCTGAAGACTGAAAATGAAGTCTTTCCAGAAGAGAAGAATGGAGAAGTCCTTGTTTGAAGTTCAGTAGGTTCAGTCCCTCTATATAAAGGAAATAAAGTTGGATCCGAAAGGCCTCCTTTTTCAGTGTTTGAGCATTGTGCCAATTAAGCTCATTTACCTACTGGAAGAACTGGATAGACCGGCCACAAGAATGTGCAATGTACAACGGCATCACAAATTTCCCTGGAATCAGAAAAATCTGACACAGCAAGTAAGGATATAAATCATTTTTGATTTGGGGTCATCACCTCTAGGTTGGAGGAGGAAGTGACACGCCGATCATATCCAATTTTTTTTTTTTTTGCTGAAACAGCATCAATAGGGGCATCAGGAATTCAGAAAAGTAAACAGAGGGAATAACCAGCGCTTGGAACCTTCTCCTTGAGTAACAATTTGGGTTCCTCTGGGTCATATAACCAAGTGCAAGCGACTGAAGGGTCTTTTTTTTTTTGTTGGAACACAATGTACATTCATATGCAGAACATCTTCCCTAGGTTAAGCTGAAGCCCCCTCACATTGTCAAGTCTCTGCTCCTGCCCCTTCAGCAACAGACTTTTACTTCATCAGAGGGTCAGCCCACCGAAAAAATGTTCCAGCGTTTGCTAGATTCTGGACTGTTAAACCCCCTGAGAGCTTCTTCTATGTCTTTGGTGACTCTGTTGGTGAGATCCCTGAGCTGAGTTCTCAGGTCTGCACACCTGTTGTGGCCATTGCGGCTGTCTCCATCCATGTGCTGAGTTCCCAGGTCTGTACCCCCGCCGTGCCCATTATGAGGGGTTCCCACTATCCCAGTGCTGAGTTCCCAGGTCTGTACGCCCGCTGTGCCCATTATGAGGGGTTCCCACCATCCCTGTGCTGAGTTCCCGGGTCTGTACACCCGCTGTGCCCATTATGAGGGGTTCCCACCTTCCTTGTGCTGAGTTCCCGGGTCTGTACCCCCACTGTGCCCATTATGAGGGGTTCCCACCTTCCTTGTGCTGAGTTCCCAGGTCTATACACCAGCTGTGCCCATTATGAGGGGTTCCCACCTTCCTTGTGCTGAGTTCCTGGGTCTGTACACCCGCTGTGCCCATTATGAGGGGTTCCCACCTTCCGTGTGCTGAGTTCCCGGGCCTGTACCCCCGCCGTGCCCATTATGAGGGGTTCCCACTATCCCAGTGCTGAGTTCCCAGGTCTGTGCGCCCGCTGTGCCCATTATGAGGGGTTCCCACCTTCCTTGTGCTGAGTTCCCGGGCCTGTACCCCAACTGTGCCCATTATGAGGGGTTCCCACTATCCCAGTGCTGAGTTCCCGGGTCTGCACCCTCCCTGTGCCCATTATGAGGGGTTCCCACCTTCCTTGTGCTGAGTTCCCGGGTCTGTACACCCGCTGTGCCCATTATGAGAGGTTCACACATTCCCTGTGCTGAGTTCCGGGGTCTGTACATCCGCTGTGCCCATTATGAGGCGTTCCCATAATAACAACCTAGATTTTTAATTTATTTTTTGCTGTGAAGAATACCCTTTAGGTGTTCGGCACCATGGAATGGGTGGGATCTCCTAAAATTCCAAGGGTAGGAAAACATGGAGCTAAATATGAGAAATAGTACTGCAGGAACCCCCAACTAAAATATTGTAAAGCGCTGAGAAAACTGTTGGCTCTATATAATTCCTGTAGATAAGGAAGAAGGAGAAGGAGAAGAAGGAGAAGAAGAAGAAGGAGAACGGGAAGAAGGGGAAGAAGAGGAAGAATAGGAAGAAGGAGAAGGAGGAGCAGGAGAAAAAGAAGAAGAAGAAGAAGGAGGAGAAGGAGAAGAAGAAGGAGAACAGGAAGAAGGGGAAGAAGAGGAAGAATAGGAAGAATGAGAAGGAGAAGAAGAAGGAGCAGGAGGAGAAGAAGGGGAAGAAGGAGAAGGAGAAGTAGGAGGAGAAGAAGGAGGAGAAGAAGGAGGAGGAGAAGAAGGAGGAGAAGAAGAGGAAGGAGAAGAAGAAGGAGCAGAAGAAGAAGGAGAAGAAGAAGGAGAAGAAGGAGAAGAAGAAGGAGGAGGAGAAGAGAGGAGGAGAAGAAGAGGAAGGAGAAGAAGAAGGAGCAGAAGAAGAAGGAGAAGAAGAGGAGAAGAAGGAGGAGAAGAAGAAGAAGAAGAAGATAGAAGAGGAAGAAGAAGGAGAAGAAGAAGAAGAAGGAGCAGAAGAAGGAGAAGAAGGAGGAGAAGGAGAAGAAGAAGATAGAAGAGGAAGAAGTAGAAGAAGAAGGAGAAGAAGTAGGAGGGGGAGAAGAAGGAGAAGGCGAAGAAGGAGAAGAAGAAGAAGAAGAAGAAGAAGAAAAAAAGAAGAAGGAGGAGGAGAAGAAGGAGAAGAAGAAGAAGAGGAAGCAGAAGGAGAAGAAGAAGGAGAACAGGAAGAAGGGGAAGTAGAGGAAGAATAGGAAGAAGGAGAAGGAGAAGAAGAAGGAAGAGGAGGAGAAGAAGGAGAAGGAGAAGAAGGGGAAGAAGGAGGAAGAAGGAGGAGAAGAAGGAGAAGAAGAAGAAGGAGGAGAAGAAGAGGAAGGAGAAGAAGAAGGAGGAGAAGAAAGAAGAAGGAGCAGAAGAAGAAGGAGAAGAAGAAGGAGAAGAAGGAGGAGAAGGAGGAGAAGAAGGAGAAGAAGAAGATAGAAGAGGAAGAAGGAGAAGAAGAGGGAGGAGGAGAAGAAGGAGAAGAATAAGAAGAAGGAGGAGAAGGAGAAGAAGGAGAAGAAGAAGAAGAGGAAGAAGAAGGAGAAGGAGAAGAAGAAGAAGAAGAAAGAAGAGGAAGAAGAAGAGAAGAGAAGAAGAAGAAGAGGAGAAAAAGGAGAAGAAGGAGAAAAAGGAGAAGAAGAAGCAGGCAAAGAAGAAGGAGGAGGAGAAGGAGGAGAAAGAGGGAGAAGAAGAAGGAGGAGAAGAAGGAAGGAGAAGAAGGAGAAGAAGGAGGAGAAGAAGGAGGAGAAGAAGAGAGGAGAAGGAGAGAAGAAGGAGAAGAAGGAGAAGGAGAAGAGGAGGAGAAGAGGAGAAGGAGGAGGAGAAGAAGGAGAAGGAGAAGAAGAAGAAGAAGGAGAAGGAGAAGAAGCCAATTCCTATACTCGAAATTTCCCTTTGGGTGGTGTCATCCTCTATTGCAGTTTAAGAAGTATTGCATTAGGCGTGTGTTTTAGTTTTTCGGATGAAAAATCTCAATTTCAGAGATTCGGATGTATACGAGTCATCGAACAGAGATAGTAATGAATGTCAATGCATCAAAAAAAAACTTGTAACGAAATAAACAAATGCATTCATTTCATTCGTCTCATTCGGATGACGTCACATGACGTGATAGTAGTTCGGGCCCATGGGGAAATAAATTCAATTTTCAAATTTGTTCCAAAAAGCTTATTCGGATAACGAAAAGGTTCGGATGCAAATGACACCAGTCGATATTGTCCAATCAGCTCATGCCATTTCTCTTGGCGGGTTGGACTAACATCTGAAAATATCAAACTGATTCCATCCAATTTCATTTTCAGAGATTCGGATGTATACGAATCACCGAACAGACGTAGTAACGAACATCAAAGCATCCAAAAAAAGGGATAACAAAATTAATAAATGCATCGTTTCATTCGCATGCGCCCTCTACCCGGAAATAGGAAATCACATGATTTTGCACAGCCCTGTCTCCCGGTACTTGTGCTATACGGCGGTTGGAAAGATGTTAATAATTGGGTATTTTTCCTAAAAAAAAAAAGACGATATTCTCAATTCACGACATCAAATTATTTCCTAATTACGTATTGTTCCCGATGGATGACACGCGACCGAAAGCACGAGAGCACGGGAGGGTTGCCGGTGATTTATGTTGCGCAGCGCATCATGTTCATAGATAATGTATAGTTAAGAGTGACAAATAATTAATTCCAGCTTTAGGATCGTTGTGGTTGTCGGGAGAATGACGAACGATCGACTTCACATGGCCAGCGAGATATCACACCTGTAATAGAACAAAATATTGAGATCTTGGAATTTTCTGCACATAGTAATCAACGAATATTTACTATTCCTCATATCTGATCGATGAAATATATCCTCGTGGGTGGCCTCTCCCTGTACTATATCATTTTATACATCATCTCTTACAAGATTGTGAAACTATTTGCACGCAATAGGAGTCATGTGTACCGGCCTATCGATTTTTTTTTCCCACTTCTGCAGTTTCACTTTCACGTCCCTGCACGACCCCCTGTAACTGAACATGTGTACCGGGCTATCGCTTTCCGGGGGCAGTAGTTTTCCCTTCTTAAAGCAGAACTCCGCACCGGCGAAATGCATCTGTGCAAGCTGGTATACCTGCCAAAGCATTTTAATGGCATCCATCCACGCCTGAGAATTACACCGCTCTGTCACACAGCATGCCCCTGTCTAGCAAAAGGTAGGAGACCTGATTTTTTTTCCCCTTCTGAAGTTTCACTTTCACTTTCAGGTTCCTTCACCACTCCTGTAACCGAACATGTGTACCAGCCTATCCATGTAGGCTGGGTCCTTGGCACAAGAATTTTACATTCATGATTTTATTGGATTGGCAATAAATGTATTTTATTTTATTTACCTGGGAATGTAACTTTTATTACTTTGACCGCAGTCTCTGACCAGCTCTTGTAGTATCTCTGCAGTCTCTGGTCATCCCCTGTACTATGTCCGCAGTCTCTGGTCATCCCCTGTACTATGTCCGCAGTCTCTGGTCATCCCCTGTACTATGTCCGCAGTCTCTGGTCATCTCCTGTTCTGTGTCTGCAGTCTCTGGTCATCTCCTGTACTGTGTCTGCAGTCTCTGGTCATCTCCTGTACTGTGTCTGCAGTCTCTGGTCATCCCTGTACTGTGTCTGCAGTCTCTGATCATCTCCTGTACTATGTCTGCAGTCTCTGGTCATCTCCTGTACTATGTCTGCAGTCTCTGGTCATCTCCTGTACTATGTCTGCAGTCTCTGGTCATCTCCTGTACTGTGTCCGCAGTCTCTGACCATCTCCTGTATCATGTCTGCAGTCTCTGACATCTCTGTATCATGTCTGCAGTCTCTGACCATCTCCTGTATCATGTCTGCAGTCTCTGACCATTTCTTGTATCATGTCTGCAGTCTCTGGTCCTCTCCTGTAGTATGTCTGCAGTCTCTGGTCATCTCCTGTATTATGTCTGCAGTCTCTGGTCATCTCCTGTACTATGTCTGCAGTCTCTGGTCATCTCCTGTACTGTGTCCACAGTCTCTGACCATCTCCTGTACTGTGTCCGCAGTCTCTGACATCTCCTGTATCATGTCCGCAGTCTCTGACCATCTCCTGTATCATGTCTGCAGTCCTCTGACCATCTCCTGTATCATGTCTGCAGTCTCTGACCATCTCCTGTATTGTCCGCAGTCTCTGACCATCTCCTGTATCATGTCTGCAGTCTCTGACCATCTCCTGTACTATGTCCGCAGTCTCTGACCATCTCCTGTATCATGTCTGCAGTCTCTGACCATCTCCTGTACTATGTCTGCAGTCTCTGGTCATCTCCTGTACTTATGTCTGCAGTCTCTGACCATCTCCTGTACTATGTCCGCAGTCTCTGACCATCTCCTGTATCATGTCTGCAGTCTCTGACCCTCTCCTGTACTATGTCTGCAGTCTCTGGTCATCTCCTGTACTATGTCTGCAGTCTCTGACCCTCTCCTGTACTATGTCCGCAGTCTCTGACCATCTCCTGTACTATGTCTGCAGTCTCTGACCATCTCCTGTACTATGTCCGCAGTCTCTGACCATCTCCTGTATCATGTCTGCAGTCTCTGACCATCTCCTGTACTGTCTGCAGTCTGAGGTCTCATCTCCTGTACTATGTCCGCAGTCTCTGACCATCTCCTGTACTATGTCCGCAGTCTCTGACCATCTCCTGTACTGTATGTCTGCAGTCTCTGGTCCATCTCCTGTACTATGTCCGCAGTCTCTGGTCATCTCCTGTACTGTGTCTGCAGTCTCTGGTCATCTCCTGTACTATGTCCGCAGTCTCTGACCGTCTCCTGTACTGTGTCCGCAGTCTCTGACCATCTCCTGTACTATGTCTGCAGTCTCTGACCATCTCCTGTACTATGTCCGCAGTCTCTGACCATCTCCTGTACTATGTCCGCAGTCTCTGACCATCTCCTGTACTATGTCCGCAGTCTCTGACCATCTCCTGTAGTATGTGTCTGCAGTCTCTGACCATCTCCTGTACTATGTCTGCAGTCTCTGACCATCTCATGTACTATGTTTGCAGTCTCTGACCATCTCCTGTACTATGTCCGCAGTCTCTGACCGTCTCCTGTTCTATGTCCGCAGTCTCTGACCATCTCCTGTACTATGTCCGCAGTCTCTGACCATCTCCTGTTCTATGTCTGCAGTCTCTGACCGTCTCCTGAATCACGTCTGCAGTCTGGAAAGCATAATATGTCGCGCTCCCAATATACACCAATGTTGTATAAATCATTCAGTGATAAATTATTTCCCACAATATAATAAAGAATATATATAATATATAGAAAAATGGCTAAATGGTTAGCACTTCCGTCTGGCAGTACTCGGGTCGTTGGTTTGAATCCCAACCACGGCACCACCTGCCTGGAGTTTGCATGTTCTCCCTGTACCTGCGTGGGTTTCCTCCGGGTGCTCCGGTTTCCTCCCACACTCCAAAGACATGCTGGGAGGTGAATTGTCTCCTGTCTAAATTGTCCCTAGTCTGTGTATGTATGAATGTGAGTTAGGGACCTTAGACTGTATGCTCCTCGGGGGCGGGGCCTGATGTGAATGTACAATATATATGTAAAGCTGCGTACATTGACTGTGATATATAAGTACCTGAAATAAATAAATATAGAAATATATAAAAGTGCCACCTAATAAATATTAATATAACTAATATATGTGAATAATCCCAGAACAACTTAAATATAAAATTTAAATAAAAATAAACATAAATAAAATACATAAAGAAAGTCTCTTTGATCAAAAAAATATATATAAATAGTCCCAAAAGAATATATATGGTGCTTGTGTGATCCAAAGCGATAATTGTGACTTTTCGTGAATCCTTCTATTGGTGGAGTTGTGCGCTCAGCTCCTTGGCAGCCTAACAGACAGGTTACTGCGCTTCTTGTTCACAATAGGAACCTGCTAGGATTTATTGCAGCATGAGATAGGTGGTGGGTGTCTCCTGGGTACTCCACCATACTTCTCTCCTCAGGGGCGGACTGACAACTCATGGGGCCCCCGGGCAATAGGGGATCATGGGGCCCCTGTGTCCTTGCCCAAACTCAAAAAAGCCTATGAAAAAGGTACCAGGGGCATCTCATGGGGCCCCCTACTGACCCCGGGCCCTCGGGCAGTGCCCGAGTTTCCAAATGGTCAGTCCGCCCCTGTCTCTCCTTGTACACTCGTTATCCCTGCAGGGATCTCTCCCTCCTTCAGCTGCTATGGAATCTCCTCCTTAACCACTTCCAGTCCGGACACTTTCCCCCCCCTTCCCCCCCAGGGCAATTTTCAGCTTTCAGCGCTATCACACTTTGAATGACAATTGCGCGGTCATGCAACACTGTACCCATATGAATTTTTTACCATTTTTTTGAGACAGGTAAAGCTTTATTTTGGTGGTATTTATTCACCGCTGGAATTTTTTATTTTTTTTTTTTACTATGTAAATGAAAAAGTCCAAAAAGTTTGAAAAAAAGTGTTTTTATTTATAAAATTTTGCAAATAAATAATATTTCATCATAAATCTTGGCCAAAATTTATTCCGTTATTTTTTAGTAAAAAAAAAAAATCCAAATTAGTTTATAACCAAAAATTATAATTTTTAAACATTTTTTTTTTACATTTTTATTTTATTTTTTTTTATATTATTATTTTTTATTTTTTTTTACATACTGTCACCCTAGCAGTAGTGTCACCATGACACTGCACTACTTGTGGGGGGTGATGAAGATTTTTTTTTTTTTTTTTTTTACACTGATTGCTTTTACACCCATACAGGATGTAAAAGCAATCATTTCTCTTTCTCTCTGTCTGCATTCTTGCAGTCATTGAGAAGTATTGAGTGAGCTGTGATTGGTCACAGCTTGTCACATGGTACAAGGCTGTTGTGAATAGCCCCGTACCATGTGACCTCTGTGATCATTCACAGATTTCACACATAGTAAGCGATGATGTCACAAGTGACATCTTGCTTACTACTTTGCATGTGATCACATGATCGGGACCTCGCACAGAGGTCCCGTCCGACGATCGGTGTTTCACTGTGTCCGGAGGACACAGCGGGCACCGGATCGCGGTGCTGCGCGCTCCCAGGGAGCACGCACAGCTAGAAAAGGCGGGTGCCGTTTCTGAACGGCAATCCGCCCCTGGAGTGCCACCGCCCTGCCGTTTATAAACAGCAGGCGGACGGCAAGGGGTTAATCCTCTCCCAGATATTCCTCAATGTAGTATAGCAAAGAAAGAAATATGGAAATCTTTATTAAGGTGCCAAAATATTGCACTCACATTGTTCCCCTACGCGTTACGCCACTGGTCATGTGGCTTCATCAGGGGGTTGTAATTGGACAGTCACTACACCCATACGGCTTTATATATCCCATCTCCGCCATTTTCCCGAAGATATCGCGGACGCGGCCATCTTTTTGGGCCAAAAAAAAACCTATAGTAACAGCGCATGCATCTCGCAATGTTCCTGATTTTGATACTTTTGTTTCTCATATGTAATTACTACGTATCACTCTGCCCTATGGATACAGCAAAGCAACACGCGGTTCACACAGACACCTTATTAACATGATATATATCAAACATTTTGATTACGGAGCAGGGGCGGACTGACAACTCATGGGGCCCCCGGGCAATAGGGGATCATGGGGCCCCTGTGCCCTTGCCCAAACTCAAAAAAGCCTATGAAAAAGGTACCAGGGGCATCTCATGGGGCCCCCTACTGACCCCGGGGCCCTCGGGCAGTGCCCGAGTTTCCAAATGGTCAGTCCGCCCCTGCCCCCTATTCCAGGGCTTAAAATTTCGAGTCTAGACCTACTAGCCAGGCACAAACCTTGCTCTCCACCAGTTGCCCCACCCAACCTTGCCCAGGTCCGCCTCCAACCCCAGCCCCGGGCCGCCCCCCAGCCCTGCCCCCAACCATGCCCCCTTAAAGCTTTTGAAATTACATTTTTCTTTTACAAAAAATAAAACTGTACACAGTAATGTATATCCCCCCTCCCCCGTACCCCATTATACTGATATGACGTGTATACAGTAATGTATATCCCCCCCCCCTGTACCCCATTATAGTGATATGACGTGTATACAGTAATGTATATCCCCCCCCCCCCTGTACCCCATTATAGTGATATGACATGTATACAGTAATGTATATCCCCCTCCCCTGTACCCCATTATAGTGATAGGACGTGTATACAGTAATGTATATCCCCCCCCCCCGTACCCCATTATAGTGATATGACGTGTATACAGTAATGTATATCCCCCTCCCCTGTACCCCATTACAGTGATATGACGTGTATACAGTAATGTATATCCCCCCCCCTGTACCCCATTATACTGATATGACGTGTATACAGTAATGTATATCCCCCTCCCCTGTACCCCATTACAGTGATATGACGTGTATACAGTAATGTATATCCCCCCCCCCCTGTACCCCATTATAGTGATATGACGTGTATACAGTAATGTATATCCCCCTCCCCTGTACCCCATTACAGTGATATGACGTGTATACAGTAATGTATATCCCCCTCCCCTGTACCCCATTATAGTGATATGACGTGTATACAGTAATGTATATCCCCCCTCCCCTGTACCCCATTATAGTGATATGACGTGTATACAGTAATGTATATCCCCCCCTCCCCTGTACCCCATTATAGTGATATGACGTGTATACAGTAATGTATATCCCCCTCCCCTGTACCCCATTATAGTGATATGACGTGTATACAGTAATGTATATCCCCCCTCCCCTGTACCCCATTATAGTGATATGACGTGTATACAGTAATGTATATCCCCCTCCCCTGTACCCCATTATAGTGATATGACGTGTATACAGTAATGTATATCCCCCCTCCCCTGTACCCCATTATAGTGATATGACATGTATACAGTAATGTATATCCCCCTCCCCTGTACCCCATTATAGTGATACATGTATACAGTAATGTATATCCCCCCCCCTGTACTCCCATTATAGTGATATGACATGTATACAGTAATGTATATCCCCCCCCCCTGTACCCCATTTACAGTGATATGACGTGTATACAGTAATGTATATCCCCCCTCCCCTGTACCCCATTATAGTGATATGACGTGTATACAGTAATGTATATCCCCCCCCCCCTCCCCTGTACCCCATTACAGTGATATGACGTGTATACAGTAATGTATATCCCCCTCCCCTGTACCCCATTATAGTGATATGACGTGTATACAGTAATGTATATCCCCCCTCCCCTGTACCCCATTATAGTGATATGACGTGTACACAGTAATGTATATCCCCCTCCCCTGTACCCCATTATAGTGATATGACGTGTATACAGTACTTACTGCTTGAGTCCCCCCGTGGCGGTGGAGAGGGTGTCTCCTCTCAGCGGAGTACAGCGGACCTCTCCTGCACCTGTCCCCTCAGCGACGGTGCCGAAGAAGCCGGAAACCGGAACTCGGCTTCACAATGAGGCTTGGAACGCAGCCGCTCGCATCCATCATCTGTGCTCACCGCTCGAGAATTTCTCCTCGCATTTGGCGAGCGGGCGAGTGGCTTTTTCAAGCCCTGCCCTATCCCATACTAACAATAACAGCTATATAACATATCTATAAATAAAATTTACAGAAATGTATTTAAAATTAAAATTAAAAAATGAATACCAACAAACAGAAAAATTTAATGAAAATAAAAATATAAAATATATAATAAATAATATATAATAAAATAATAAGAAT